TTACAAGCTGGGGATAGTTTCTGCCGTTTTGCAGGCTGTCTGCTGAGCTGCTTGTGTGTGCGCTCCTTAACGCATTGCAGTCAAAACGCGCTGACTTTGCACAACACTGTTATTTAAACTAACACCTCTTATTTCGACTAAAATAAGTGGTAACGGAATGAAGCTCACACCCATAGAGCAGACAAAAGGTGGGAGTATAAGGGGATTATTTAGTTCTGTCAAACACAGGAAAGATTAACCTTAAAATACATATTTTTAAACACATGCAGTTGTTTACATCTTTGCAAAGTAGGTATGAAATGCCACAAAACAAAAGCAAAAGCGGTTTGTACCCAGGATAAACTGAGTCAAAAGGGAGATATATATATATTCCTAGTTAGATTTAGCAGTGTGTTAGAGCTGGTACTGGTGACTATGCAAAGTGCAAGAGATGAAAAACCATACTCAGAATGTGGATGCGGATGTGCGTGAATACCGCTGTCAACATGTATGTGTGTGTATATTTTTTTTTTCCTAATAGTGTTATATATTTATTGACCAGTGATTAAAAAAAAATCTTTAAATTATTAAGACGTTTGCATTGTAAGTCAAATAATTATAAATTCTCTGCTGCACCAAGATACCCACTCTGGGGTTGTTTATTGCGTTAATCATCATCTCAGAGAGGCACTTCAAGACCAGCTCAGGACAAGCAGTGATATTATGACCATCATTGGAAGTCCTAAAGAAAGAATTTCCAGTATTTCTAAATGATGCATTTAAGACGTTTCTGGGCCTTCTAGGACAGCTGCTCTCCAAAGGTGATCGCTGCAGATCATCCAGCATATTTGGAACCTTTGTCTCTCATGTTTTTAGTGCTGGAACGCAGAACTACTTGCACTGTGTGTGGTCATGGAAACTCTCTTATCCTCTTTAGTGACAGGTGTAGCTCTCAGTGTTGGTGTCAATGAGTCCCTCCCTCCAAAAAAAACAAAACGGAAAAGGGCAGGAAGAAATGTTTATTTCTATCAGTGATGAGAGGGAACAGCACTTGTTTCACTTCTGTATGTGTTGTGTATGAGCTTATTTTTGCACTCTTGAGAAACAATTCCTAGAATAGCAGTATGTGCAATACAACTTTTTGTGCATCTTTTGTTGCAGAGCTGCCTTTTTTGCAAGGGGCTGACTTTTTTTTCAACCAAATTATATCGCCTGACAAGAATTTTCATGCGACTCTTGGAAACCTGCTGCAGTCTTCCCTATTTGCTATTCAGTCCTGTTTTCTTCTCCTTTTAGCAGGTAAGCACATGTTTCTACTATATTATTTGCAACTGGAAAATATTTCCAATTCCAGACACCTGGAGAGCTCATTCCCTTGGATTGACTAGCGTTACCATCTCTCTTCCAAGGTGTCCCACAGATCCCCTTTTATTTTCTGCCATAGAAAAATATCTGAACAGCAATGCAATACTTTGGGATTTTTAACATCAGCTCATGTCAGTCTACATCCCTCTAGCTTTAGCGCAGCTTAAAAAATGGTATGCATGAACTTTCAGCTGTGAATCTATTTACAGCTGAATCAGGCTTGTGAGCAAGCAATATAGAAAATTGCTTGAATTTCTGCTCTCTGAGAGGAGCCTCTAAATAACTTCATGTCCTTGGGGGAAAAGAACCCTGAAGTAGAGCGCTAGAACGGGGGATGCAAAAGCTCGGGTGTTACCCACCGTGGCGACCTCGAGTTGCATGAGAGGGTTCAGATACTGTTCACCAAGATCATAGTCAGGCAACCGTTGCAGGAACAGATTAAGCCGCCCCAGCTGACTGTGCACTGAAGCATATGAGGAATTCTCAAATGACCTATATATGATTGATGTATACGTGGGTGTGGCAAGAAGCGGCACCCAGCAGCTGAGAGGTAGTAATATCTTACACAGCTGCAGCTATTTGTGCAGAGGTGCTCAGCACAACCCTCTAGAGTTCCTTAGTATTCGTTGCTAGAACTGGATCCGCGTTTGAGATTCAGGGGTTTTAGGAAGGAGGAAATTTTACAGATCTCTCGAAATCACTTTCAGTAAACGCTAGTCATTAATGGAGAGTGTGTATGGGGGTGTGTATGTGCATTTATGTGAAAGGAAAGTAAATGTGCTTAATCTGTCTTTGATGTTGTTCTGTTTTTCTTTTAACATTATCATCACATGTAGTAGCTCTTATTTTTTCAAAGCAACTTGGAAATCTTCTCAGAAAACAATTGCCAGTTTCCTCCTCCAAAAGAATTTTCTTTCTGAACATATTAAGAGATTTATTTTCCCTTAAAGATTTACTTACGTTATCACTGAGCTGCAGAATCTAACCTCTGCTGTGGCTTCAACCTTTTTTAATGTGTTTTATAAGCAAAGAGGCCTTTTCTAAAGGGTTTGCTCTTGAAAATTTCTGGTTTGATTTACTTGGTGGTAATGTATGCTTTCTTTCCAATTTCTATCAAGCGGTGAATTATGGGAATGCCTATTCCATGCTACTTCATTGCAGTAGTAGCTGGATTTTGCTAAAGTGGTTACTTGGTCTCGTCTCAGGGCCATAATCCAGTGCAAGGCTGTGAGCTACAGCAGAATTTAACTTGGTCTTTAAACTGGGTGCAGATGTTTAAAAGAAAGAGAAATAATTTTCACTTGCACTGCACCTTTTTCCCCTAGGGATTGCCAGGGTGTTGTTAGCTACTGCCTCTCTGGATTCCCTGAGGAGTTAGTGGTATCAGTAGCAGAGAGCGGATATTGTACAATGGGAACGTGGTAGTCCCAGGTTATGAAGAGTATGGGTATGGGCATCGCTTTTCTCCTTATAAGCGATTCCTCTGGAAAAGTTGAGCAAAGAATCTGGGTATAACTCAGCCAGGAAATCCCTGCTACCTCTGCCCAAGTTATTTCAAGCGTACCCCAAAAATTTCTGCTCCTGAAGTTTATAACCTCTCAAAAACAAATACCCACGTCTGCTGTTAACTAAGTTAGCAGTCTACCAACTGATCTGTTACCAAACATGAGTTCTGTCAGCAGCAACTCCAAACATGGCTGCTGGGAGGTTTTAGCCATTGCCAGCAGAACTAAAAGCTGCTCTAATGCTTCACTGAAATATTTTGAAAAGTCCGCTATGAAGACTCCATCTATGTTTTGTTTGCTGTTAAACTTTTTATTCTTGGTATTGTAAATAACTGCCCCGCACAGTAAACAGAGACATGTGCACGCCTTCTGTTTCTAGCAGAGCATTTGCAAGCTATCCTACTGTAAACTGTTTACAGATTACTATGTAATCAGTAACCTTACTATGATGGACAGTCAGGTCAGAGTTCCCACCAGACAAGGAGTCATTATTAGACATTATGGCTTGAGTGACTTACCACCACCCTGACGGAGTGTTTGCTGACTGGAAATACCAATGCCTTATGAAAAAAATGCTGCTTGCCTGCCACAACCCAGCATTTTATAACCACTTGGGGTTTTTTCATTGCAAAAGCCATAACTTCTCACTTGCTGGCAGTATAATAGACTTAAAGTCATGTTTACAGTTTTAAGTGCAGCATTATATTCAAATTTTATATTCCAACAGTGTGCCTATTTTCACAGTTACATTTATTATTTGCTTTTCGTTGTGGTATGATGTAATTTAAAGGTCTTAGGAGTCTGGTCCTACTGTAACAGGGACCATAGAAAACATGTATGGAAGGTTTCAGGCCCCCATTAGTTTACATCTGCAGGCCATGGCCTTTGCAAATGGTTGTACATAGGTTTTACTTTCTGCATGTGTAAAATTGCATATTATTCCATAGAAATGTCACAAGTTTCAAATCCAGCACATACAGAAGCCTTGACATAGCAGGGGCCAACTCAGAAACAGCAAAGTAATGTGTTTGCTCTGCTCACATGGAGACAGAAGTCACCAGGCAAGTGTTGAGATAATAAAGGAGGTTAGCAATGTTTACTGTGTCACTGCTGATAAGCACCCAATCTTTTGATAATTAGTATTATGAGAAGTTCCTGGCAAAATTGTAACTCTTTGTTTGCTTCGTTTTTTCTCCTCCTCCAATACAAAGAGGAGAACCTGACAGTATCTTTCTTTATTGTTACATTTTCCTTGTCCACTGCTGGAGTGGGTGTTACTCTCAGCTCAACTGTTCCCTAAAATTTCAGCTGATTCCCTAGCCAGAAGATGCTCTTAACCAGCAAATCCCATTTGCCTTTCTGTTGAGGCTGTCCCATGAAGGCTGCAAACTTGGCCCTTTTCTCTCGGTCCTGCAATGCCTGTGATCAGCAGCAGACTTGCCTAGAAATACTCCTAGTTTAATATCTCCTTACTTGAAATACCAACTGAGTTTGTAAGCCAAAGACATCTCCTAAAGGTCTCTGCATCTAGGGTCAGAGCACGTACTTGAAGAAATGACACATTCATTAGTTGGGTACCAGATTATTTACACTTGTATCACGGTCAACCAGGCAGTAGGAGACTGGGGATGACATTAATCTCATCTAGTTGTAGGTATTTACAGCTTGGAATACCATATCCATATCTGAATTACTCGCCTTATGTTCTCTTTGTAGTTGGTGGAGAGAACAGGTACGTCCCCAGCATGACTTTCCTGACCAGGCTTAAATATCCTTTATAGGATATGATGAAGTGCATCCTAGATCCTCCAGCAACCACAGAACGAGGTCTGGATTTTCCTGTACATCTCTATTTGTGAGATGTACATATCCCACTTCCAATGTCCGTTACCTCATTAACTAGTACCTAGGAAATGGAAAGTCCAACCTAGAGTGGCTGAACTTTATCACAAGAATATCTTAATTGCTCCTTCCAGTTCTGACCTCCCAGGTCACTATGCTGCTGTCACTGCAGTCATGAGCATCTCCTCTCTCTTTACAGCAATTATGGAGAATTTAATTAAAAGGAAGGAATTATTTCAAATGTTATTCCCAGTTTTCTTCCTGTTACTTATTTATCATCTCAGTCAAATACAGACAGAGGTAAAGTGTAGATAAAAGCATAAATATTCTATCTATTGATCTGCTTATCTAACTTTATGTAAAATAACTATCAACAATATAACAGCTGAAGTCTTACATTTATTACATTTAATTTTCCTGTAAGTAAAGGAAGGTGAAAATAGTATCTTTCATTCCTCTTTTTTTCCCCAACTCCACGCAAATGCAATCCAAACAGCTTTCATAGAGCTGAGCAAAGGAGGAGGAATCATCTCACTAAGGTTTCAATAAACTTCCAAAAGTTAAATAATGAGGATTACCAAAATAAGGCCTTAAAAAAAATCACATACCAGGCACAAAAAATCATGACGTGGGCTTGAAAATGGATTATTTTTTATTTCTTTAGGACTTGTGTTCTGCCTTTGAACTGAAATGGGACTGTTTCAGCATGTGATGTTGAAGACTAGATAGCGTTTCTTGATAAAGAAGTAAGAAAAGTATGTAGATAAACACAAGTGGCTCCTGATCACATTTTCATTAAATCTCTTAACTAGGACTTATCCAAAATTATGAGAGACTTTCTTACCTTTGGTTTTGGTCCTCTTACAGAGAAAAATTGTTACACAGTATTAAGGATTCAGTCTTTAAAAATGAAGGCTGCTATACTTTTTTTTTTTTAACACTACGAAGTACCAACAGTAGAGTTGAAAAGCCTTTTGCCTTTAAAAAAATGCTTCAAAACATTTGAACCAAGAATATTTTCTGTTGAAAGCATAGGTAGGAAGCAATGCACTACAGTAAATGAACAGTGAAAATTTCTATTTCATTCCAGCAGAATAAGTTTAGATGTGTTTACGTTTCATCTGACACGCTAAATTCTTGTACTAAACAAACCAAGGAAACACAAATGGAGTCAATGAACCAAAACCCTGGATTCAGAAAGCCATTTATCTTTATGCCAGTTTGAGTCAAAAGTTCAATTATGGATACTCTCCTTCGTTGGTGTTCAAATCTGGATCCAAAACTTTTTGTTGGAGCCAATCTCTAAAACAGATGACTAATAAAACTAACATAATGACACACACATATACACACACACATATCTTCTTGTTAACATGCATCATATTAGCTACGGGCCAGGATTGGTTTCGTTTTATGTATAAAGTGATTCAACTCCTCCTTTACCCATCCTCCTCCCCTCTCCCAGTCTGGCCAAATCTCTGTGCTGGGTCCTGCCCCTGCATGGCCAAATATTGCAGAAAGGAAGACAACTTTTTTTTTTTTTTAGCAAAAAGGTAAAAATTTTGGTTTACATTTTTTTCCCCTGTG